ACTACTCGCATTCCCCGTATGACATCCACCTTTGTTGGAGATAGATGGTTTAGTGAAATGCTTTTGGGACATCCAATAAGATTCAGAAATATATTCAGAATGACGAGAACGATTTTTATGGATCTTCTAAACGAGTTATGTCTAAATCACGGCCTTCATGGTTCTTCTAGAACCCTGTCTCGGGAGGTGTTGGCAATAACACTGTACATTCTGGCACAGAATGAGTCAATTCGAGGAGCTATGGAAAGATTTCAACATTCATCTGAAACAATTAGTCGCTATTTCTCAAAAGGAATACAGGCACTTATTAGCTTAGCTGCTCAAATAATTAAACCAGAGGATCCATCATTTGCTACTACTCCAGAACAAATTGCCAACGATCCTCGATATATGCCATATTTCAAGGTAATTATTAGTGGTTTTAATTTGATACATGATATACTTTAATAATATTATTACGCTCTTGTTTTTCAACTAAACAGAACTGTATTGGTGCAATTGACGGTACACACGTTGATGCCCGAATACCTAACAACGAGAAGGTAGCATACATCGGTCGTAGTGGTTCAACAACGCAAAATGTCATGGCCGTATGCGACTTCAACATGTGTTTTACTTTTGTGGTTGCGGGCTGGGAAGGAAGTGCACACGACAGTCGTATTTTCTCCTTTGCCACGAGGAATAGATCGCAGTGTTTCCCTCACCCCCCATCAGGTTAGTTTTGTTTAGTAATTTGAATATGTGGGATTGTGCAATTTTTTATTAACATTGTTTCTCGTACCAGAAAAATATTATCTGGTTGATGCAGGATATCCTATGCAAAGGGGATACCTGAAGCCCTACTCGGACACGAGATATTATCTTCCTAATTTTGAGCGAGCTAGTGGCACGGTTCATGGCAGAAAGGAAATGTTTAATAAACGCCACTCATCTTTACGCGGGGTAATTGAAAGAACATTTGGAGTTTGGAAGAAAAAGTGGGTCATCTTACGTGATATGCCGTCGTATCCTTTCCAAAAGCAGGTGTACATTGTGGTTGCAACAACGGCATTACATAACTTCATCCGAAGACATTCCTCGCAATCAGATACAGACTTCAGTATGGCTGACAATGATGAAGTCAATATTTTCGAGCAACCAACAGGACATGTGGGGGGGCATTCATTACCTGAGGAGGACATAGAATCTAATGATTTTGAAGATCAAAATGCTGATAGTTTGGCTGATATGATTGCTTTAAGGGAGTCTATCACAGATGCT